CATAAGGTTGTTTGAGCTGGTCTGCTGCCAGGGAAGGATCTGCACACACACTCAACCCAGGCTGGCATGCAGCAGCCCGTAGGCACAAAACTCTTCACCCCAAAACCCTCACGGCAGGCAACTCCCTCCATCATAGCAGTCTCTGGGAGAACAGGGAGCTCATGCAGGCCAGCGAGCCAAGCAGTTCCGAAATCTGCAACCCCGTACAGCCTCGCTCAAACATCCAGCCTCATTCAAATGTCCACACCGCTTGGCTCACCTTTGTCGACGTCTGTGGGCTGCAAAGAAGAGGGAAAGACACCATGTCACCCGGGAGGGCTGAAAGCAGGCAACTGACAGTGCTGCATGACTTGCAGCTCCACTTTAAGACTCTCTGTGGCAAGCACACAGAGCCGAACCATAAAAGCTACTGGCTTGTGCTAGTCCCACCTTATTTGCTGAAGGAGAGGACAAGCACCCAGCCACCCACCAGCCCCTGGTTGGAAAGACAGAGCTCGGCAAGAGCTGAGCACTGACACCCAAAGCCACCAGGGTGACCCCACCAACCCCACAGATGCACTCCCCAAAGGGCAGAGATCAGGTGGGACAGTCCAGGCTTCACGAGCAGAGGCTCACCTCATCATCAGCCTTGGGCTTCTCAAAGTAGCTGTGCCTCTTCTTTTCTTCCTCCCGCTCACGATCACGCTCCCTGTCCCTGTCACGCTCCCGATCCCTGTCACGTTCTCGGTCCCTGTCACGCTCCCGGTCCCTGTCACGCTCTCTCTCACGGTACCTCTCGCGCTCCTTCTCCCGTGGCACCTTTGCAGTGGAGGGCACATAATCCCCGATGTCTTCAAAGATGCTAGAAGCGGAAAAGAGCCTGCAGTTACGGGTGCTGCAAGAGAAGAGGCCGCAACCACCCCCCTTTGAACTGGAACCTAATAAAGGAGCACGCAGCACCGACACCGAGAGCTAAGGACGCCCACTAGAACCGGCTTCTACATCTGTCAGAGGTATCACTGCATTTTTGCGCTCTTCTGCTGCCTGGACCTGCTTCTTGTGGTCCAGGACAACAGAGAGCCCTTGCCTGCCTCAAGCCTGAAATCATGAACAGAGCTTGCCTCCAGCCTTGTCCTACAAACCGCAAGTCCAAAGAGGCAGCTCGCTCCGGAAGCGCTAAACCCAGCCCTCTCCAAATGTGGTGGGCCAAGAAGACATTCCTTAAGGCAGAGAGCTGTGACCCCACAGCCTGTGGGCAGGGAGGCACTTACTTCATATCAGCTTCAGGAGGCTTCTTCTCATCCAGCTTCCCTGCGAGGACACAACAGCAGTGAGAGGTGCATCATCCACTCTGCCACCTGCACTGTTTCTCTGTCCCCAATCTGGTTTCCAAGCCCCAAGAGTGGCAGGCCTGGAGGCTGTCCCGACTTCCTCCTCGGTTACCACATCATAGCCATTTTGTCCCTCCCCAACAGGGGACATTTCCCCAAGGAACTGGGCCTTAACCAGGAAGAGCAGAGCAGCACGAGGCACCCCCGCAGCTGTAATTTCTCAGCAGCCAGTCCCCTGTGGTCCTGCCACAGAACAGCCTGCCTTCAGGCTTGGGGTTATAGGAAATCACTGTCCTCTAAATCCACCGCCTCATGGCGCAGGGGAACGCAGGAAACCAAACCACATCTCATTCTCTCAGGATATGCTTCAAGCATTAAGTCCTACTACTCGGTTCCCTTCAGCTCCTACCTTTGTCTTTCTTCTTGAGCTTCTTGTTGCGGGTCCCTTGCCTGAGATAGGAGAGGATCTGCGTCAGTTTGCTGATGACAATGTCATTGGTGGTCAGCGTGGTCTGTGCCTGAAAGAGAAATCCCCAAGGAAGCGTCTGACTCCCTTGACAGGGAACCCCCTCCTGGCAAGACCTGCTCTGGCCAATTCAGACCAATGCGGTCAGGCAACCTGGATGCTAGCTGGGTACCTCCATGGTGGGACAGTCAGCCTTGCTCCGGATCAGCGTCGTTGGGATGTCGGTGTCGGCATACTCATCGTCCAGATCTACCACATAGGCCATCCTCCCCGGCAGGAACAGCTCATTCCGCTCGTAGGCCTTGTTCTTGAACAGAATGCGGTAGATGTTGCGACCTGGAGGGGAAGGAAACGCGTGGGAGAGCTGCTCTTACAAGAGCAACAGACAAGCCCATAGTGAAGCATATTTAGTTTATCAGAAACATCGGAATCACCTAAGAGACACGCTTCCTCCAGCCCTCAAATTCAGGACGCCTACACCTCAGACTCTCCCCCTCCAATGACTAAAGGTTTTCATTCCTCCATTCACCCCCCAGGATTTCTCCCACATTCATGGCACAACGCAAGGTGGGGAACAGCCACAGCCCCACAGTCTTACCCAGCCGGGTCTTAAATTCAATTTTGTTCTCAGGATCTTCATCTTTCCTGAACAGAAACAGAAAAGAAACAGAAGTATTATGCTAAGCGTATGCCTCCTCTGCATCCTTCTCTCTGGGAGGCAGCTGCACTCAGGAGTGCAAAATCCTCAACCACTCACTTAGTTTCTTTCTGGGGCTTCTCCATCATTTCCTCCTCTTCCTTCTCCTTGCTGGCAATCTCAGCCCGTACCTTGCCACAGAGTAAATCCATGCATTACAGACCAATCCGTGCCACTGCTGCCCATCAGAACCAGTGCGCCCACTTCCACCAGCTCCCCAACCCTTCATAAATCTTTCCCAGAAAGGGAAATCCACACTGACAAGACTGAAGCACCCATAAGTGGCAACTACCGTCCTCTGCCCACCCTCTCTGCCTGTGGGAGCGGACAGGGTAGAAGAGCAGCATGGCGATATCTGTGCGCACCTTCTGCAACAGCGCAAAGTCCAGACCCTTCACCAAGTGAGTGTGCTCCATGTCACCACCCAAGAACTTGGACTCCTGGATCAACTGTCTCCTCTTCTCCGCAGCGGATTTATCCCTGTGCAACAAAAACGGAGCCAGTTACGAGACAGCCCCTCTGGAGCAGACTGGCAAGACAAGGCCACGCCGCAGGCTCACGTACGCCTCTGCCGTCGGCCCCACAGCCCTGTAGTTGGCAGTTGTGCTGATCAGCTCTGTTTCCTCGTAGTCCTTGTTCACACCATCTCTCCTCTCCTTGGCTCGATCCCTGTACTTCTCGGCCAACTCCCTCTCGCGCTCTATCTCCTGCTGGCGCAGCTTTGCGTAATAGCTGGGGTTGGAAAAACAGCTCAGTGTTAGAGTGACACGTTCACACTTTCGATGTACCGGTCAGGTAATGGCCCCCGAGGCCCCACACATGCCTGTTCTGCTCCCAACCCCTTCCCCAAAAAACATACTAAAGCACCATGGGACACAACATGCGTGGAGGACACCAGACAAGATGAAACTGCTGCACTGAGCCTAACTAAAGAGGAGCTCAGTCTTTCCTTCCAAAGGGAAGAGGTAAAGTGCAGTCCTGCTGCACAGATGTGCCCCAGAAGACAGTCACCAGTGCAGATGCCCCATCGCTGCCCTGCTCTGCCAGACACCCGCAGAGCCTCTCCTGCTTCTTCCGGAGGTGAAGCTTCACCCCCATCCTGCTGCCGCCCTCCCACATCTGTTCCCATAAGCAGTGACAGTCACTCAGTCAGAGCTCTTCTCACTCTGCTTGGCTCCAAAGCCCCCAAATAATCCAGGCCACTCAGGGTCCGCTTCGGTAGCCCAAGAGCTCAGAAGCTGCTTCCATGGGAGCGACATGATGTATGAAGACAAGTCCTGATGCATCGCTTTCCCCATTTACCTTTTCTTCTTCCTCCTGCGAGCCGCTGGGTCTTCATCTTCGTTGTACTCCCGGGGCATCCTGGAAAAGGGTGAGAAATCACACGTACAGTCTGCAGAGCCATACAGTCACACACAGCGAGACAGAACAGTCCCTCAGACACAGCAGGGCACCGAGATGCTCAAAGATGGGAAGAGTACAGTCCCGTTCCTCCCTAATTCCACTCTGTTGGCAGGGAGAGGAGGGGAAAGCACTGATTTTCACAGGACAAAAACTAAATCGCCTCCTGCACAAAGCGTCTTAACAGAGCCACTCACTCTGTTATTTACAGCAGTCCTGACCCACCTGTTTCTCCACTTAACACGCACATGTACAGCTTGCATGGACCCAAGCACAAAGCAGGGCCAAGGTCTGCTCCTCGGGCTCTGCCTGCACACTCATTAGCAAAAGCCCCTTTAGATACTCCACTACAGAGTGCAAGGGGAGAGAGTCAGGCAGGAACGGAGCCCCAGAGGGAAAGCAGACATGCTTTGTCCCACAGTCCTGTGAAATAAGAGTCCTACTCACTCATGGTGGCGAGATTTGGATGGTGGCGCAGATGTTGGCGCAGCCCGCGGGGTCATGAGAAGCTTTCTGAAGTCTTCATTAGTCAGCTTGGACCTGCAAAGAAGAGAGGAAAAAGAAACCGTCATCCCCCAATAAGCTTTGGCAGCCTGATGGCTTGCGAGGAGGCAGAGGGTTTGCCAGCATGTCCTCTGCGACCGAGTCGGACACGGGGTCCCCGTGGATGGAGACCAAAGGCTGCATTGCACCAGTCACTCCCAGCCTCTAGATGGGGGAATCGGCCTTGGGCCCCACAGTCCTGGTCCAGTCCCGCCCCAGTGTCATACTCACTGGTGGAAGGAGTGCGAGTCGTCCACATCGTGGCCATCAGGGGCCAGGGGGTTGGAGAACGGTTCATCTGTGGGACAGGAGGAAAGAGAGCGCTCAGAGCCTGCCTGCGTGGCTTCAACCCCTCTCCAACCCCCGCAATCCTCCCAGCCTGGTCCCTGCTCAGGAACAGGGAAGGCAGCAGTGTTCACCCACCACCCCGCTCCTCCGCCAAGCCCAGGCCGCTGACACCCTGGGGTGGCCTCACCAGGGCACATGGGACGAAGGCGTCCTGGTGTCACTGCCCACCACGAGGCCTTGCCGCCCCCCCAGCCCGAGTGACTCCCGGTGGGTGTTCTAGTGTCTCCCCCGGGAGATGGCCTCTGTGCCTCCCCGGGGGTGTCCCGTCCCCCCCACCTCCCGGGACTGCCCTTGCATCCCCTCCACCCCCAGAAATGCTCT